TCTGTGGGTTGTTCAGGTTTTTTTAATGTTGTTGGGGTTTGTTTGTTTATTGCTTTGATAACTGAAGCCACAAGTGTAAACCAATCTGGTTTCTGTTCCTAGCTCTGTCTCTGCCTACCTGTCCTTGCTTGAGTGATTTGCTTGTCTCATGTTGGCCCTCTAATGTTCTGAGGTATTTGGAAGATTTGGATGCTGGCTAAATGTCACATAACTGACATCCAGATCTCTTAAAAAGCTTTGGAAAGCTCACCTATGGCCAATTCATGACTTTGCAATGCTTAGTGTAGGGGAACAAAGAATTGTTTGTTTTCCAATAAATTGTGGAATTGGAGAGTGAGAGAATCAGTCTCAATTTTTCAATGCCTTCCACCATCTGCCTTGAATGCAAGTTTGGCTTGCATCCTGGTGTTGGAAAGTGAGATTTGAACTGTCCCCATGAGTTTTATTTAAAAGGTATAAAAGGCATTTGACTGATGTGATGGGTAGGAGCAATGAACTTGGTAGTCCTGTAGTGAAAAAGCATAAATGTACAAAATAGCTGAGCTTGGGAGCCAGCAGGGGCTGAGATCTGAGAGTGTTCTTCAATCCCATGGCAAAGGACTTCTCAGGAAAATGAGAGGTTTGCCCTGGAGCAGTTCTGCATGAATTTATACTACGATAGGAGAAGATACATATGGCCAGGTACCCCTGTGAAAGTCTAATGCCCAGGTGGACTTAAACACAGTGCAAAAATGCTATAAAGTTTTGTTTAAAAGTATTTCTTGTAGTATGACTTTCTAAAGAGAAAGCTTATGACCCTTTTATTGGAAATACCTGAAAGCCACAGTGCACATAATGTTTTTTTAAAAAATAAAGATTGCAAAGTGTTGTTTTTATTTTTGCTAGAGAACTGCACAACTGAATCTAGAGCCAGCATTCTGTTTTCTGACATTCCTTATTTTTTATGATTTAATGAATTTAATTTATTCTGTGTCTGTGAGAATAAAAGCTGCCATAAATCACAGTCCTTTTTGTTAAAAGCCTGAATTGTACTTCTTTATGTTAGAGCATGTTAAAATATATATTGTAAAATATGTAAAATTTGTGGTGCAGCTCTGTAGATCTTCTCTTAGATAGCAAAATCAGTAAGTAGTTACCCAAGAATGAGCAGGGGTTAATTGTTATTATTATTATTATTGTTAGAAATATGCCCAGAATAACCAGCATGCATGAAGACTGATGGTAGATGTGACAGAGGACATTTCATAGATCAGCTTTCTGCAGCTGGTGACCTTGCAATGTAACCTGAAGAACCTGAACTGCTTCAGGAACCTGTGTGCAGCTCTTTGCACCATGAGCATGTTTCTCTCACCTCCTGATAAATATTCATCCTCTCTTGGACCTGAATTTATTTATTTCTATATTTTGGGAGCAGCAAATTTGTGGCCATCAGTTCAGACCATGGGAAATCCAACCGGGCAGGTTGGAGACCAGCCCAGTGGAGTGCCCTAATTAACAGGAACATGTAATTAAAATTGAAGCAGATGTGGCTTGGGCAGGTGGTATTTCCTGAGCGTTTCCTGTGTGTGTACACTGTGTGTGATGGACACAAATAACTCCTCTTTCTGCAAGTGTGGGAAATGCTGGTGCATCTGCTGAGCAGTTGGTGTCTGTGAGTACCACAGCTCTGCTCTTAATGGACTGAAACGAGCTCTGAAATCCTCAACATATGAAAATATCTTTAAAACTCAGCCTGGATAAAGTTTGAGGTTTAAAGAAAAGATATTTGCATGAGAGGCTATAAATGTAATAACCCCATGTGATGCATTTTTTGCATTCTTTTGTGATTATCTGCTACTAGTTACTGTTGGGAGCATTGTGTTAGACAAGAGAACACTTTGATCTGATGCAGCTTTAAAAAATATGAGCAGTCCTTGCAACTCACTGGATCTGAGAGCAGCTACTCAGCTGAAAAATCGATCTGTAAAAATTCCAAAATGGCATTTGTCGTTAGCTCTTATCTAAAATTACAGTAGTTGCTTTATGAACAATTTTGGTGAACTGGAAAAAAACAGTGGAAATTTACAGTCAAAATATGGGAATAAGGCACTTAAATATGTAACTGTGGAAAACTGGAATTCAGATTATTTTTTCTTAGTAGGCCAGGAAGTGTGGGTAGTTCCCCATGCTCAGTACAGGTGGTAAATCCAAAAAGGAGAAAACTAACCAAACCAACCACACTTGAAGTTTTACATATTTGCAGAGAATTTTGGTCCCTGTAGATCTTTCAGATTGAATTTGTAGAATCCTTCTGCAATTCCAATTTTTTTTTTTCTTGGGATTTTATAGCAATTTAATAGGATTATCTGAGACGTAATTGTGTTATACAGTTAAATTATTCCATCTCTTGGTTGTTAGAGTGACCTGTTGTATTTTTCAGTATCTGTTGAGTGGTGTTTCAGTGTCCCAGCTGGCTTATTTGCAATACCTCGTTCTCTCCTTTGGCAAGCTGTGTCAAAAAGTGCTGTTGTAGCAAATGACTTTCCATTAAGGCACGGCAGGTCTGTGTTCCCCGTGGTTACCAAATTGAAAATGAAATTTGTATATTTTGTGTGCGTGTTCATTTATCTTTTGTAATTGTTTGGTGAAGAACAGCGTTTTGATGCTGCAGAGGCTGCAGAACCCCTGGCATTATTACAGATATATTTTCAACATATTTAAAGTTATTTTTCTCGGTTTAGGACTCTCAGTCTTCAACAGTGGTGATCTTTTCATCACATCAAAGTGGGAAATCTCTACCTTTTTCAAGTGAAGTAGGGTGAACTTTCTGGGTTTTAAGTGCAATTTTAGATTTTTTTTTCTGAGTTCAGCAGGAACTGAGCCTTTTGAGATTGAGGAGAATGCTCAAGAACTGAGTTTATGTTCTGTTCTGCTATATATTAGTTCTGTACTGATCTGTATTAGAAAGTAAAGGTCAGGAATTAATGGAAATCTCTGAGAGCATCCTATAAAGGCACAGCAGTGTTCAGACTGGCTTTTTTACATTTATTAGTGTTGATTTTGACTTGAGACCAAATCTTCAGTCTGTGGTGGCTCCACTTCACTGGATTATGTAAATTTATAGCAGCAGAGATATGCCCATAAACTTTGTTGTTATTCCCATTGAATAAACCTGAAAAAAATGCCTGAATAAAGTATATTTTTAACGTGACCAAAGGGAGTCAAAAATTTGGCTGAAGTTACCAGAGGCAGTTCTGTAAATGGAAATTGGCAATTGCATTGGTATTGGTTCCTTCTGAGCATCCAGCTGCCTGGGGAGCTGAGAACATCCTCACCCCGAGGGGCTGCTGCTCCCCACTGCTGAAATCCTATGGCTGGGAGTCTCCAAGCCCTGCAAGTTGTAGGAAATAAATAATCTGAGCATTTGTAAAGAAGGACCATGAAGTGCATGTGAAGTCTTGGTATTCTTCCAGACTGAACTGCCAAACTTGACAGTTTTATGAATTTGACTGGGTTTAGGAAATACTGGTTTTGCATATTTTACTTGTTATACAATTAGTATGTGAAAAAATAATGGGTTCAATTACCTTTGACTTTAGGTTCATGAAGTCAGCATCAAAGACAAATGCAGGTCAGCTATTGTAATAAGTCTGGGAAGAAAATATCTTTCTGGTGTTGTTCATAAGATTTATCAAAGTAGTCTAATATGTTCTGTTTTATTGTAAAATAATGTATGCTCATAATTTGCAATTTGATTTGAACATACTATAAAGACATTATGGAGTAAATAGTGAGTGGGATCATTCCTGTAACTTAATCAGATATGTTGTCACAAAAGTTTCAAAGGCATGTTGATTTAATTATGAAGTTGAAAGCTACTTCTGTTAGTAAGGGAACAATTTGCTTATTGTATCTTCCTCTTTCAATGCTTAATTCCTTTTATTGTGACTGAATGCTTCTGGTTACAATGTGCTGTAACCCTGTTGGCCTGGGATAAGTTTTCTTAATTATTTATTCTATTAATGTTTCTATCACCTGAGGGAAATGCAGATATTCCATTAATGATTGTGTTAATCAAACAACTTTCTGTATTTCTGCACTGTCCAAGTTTATGTCATTACATTAGCAGGCACAGGAGATGAAATTGGAAACTTGTAATATACTGCAGATTGGATTAAGTCATCTATGTGGTGTAGACTGCTTGAAGACTTTTTTTAGATAATTTAAAAACATTAAATCTGCAAGACAGTTATTGTTCCTGACAGGATCCCTGAAGTCTCAACATAACGCCAGTGTTGTAAAGATTTTAACTTTGTGTGTGAACAGTCTTGCTGGAGCAATGCAGCCTGGGATACAACATATTGCTTTGAAGAAATATATTTTATAAAAACCAAATTTATACAAATATATGTTTTTTTCTAAAAAAATCCTTTTGCATGTTGGAATAATCATTCCACCCATGTAATGTGACGGTGGGCATTAGGCCTTTGAATGGGATATGTAATTTTTGAGCCATTTCTAGGTGTAATGGGTGTTATAATTTTACTTTCTGCCTTTGTAAGGCCTTGATGTTGTCTAGGCAGTAAATGTTCATTTTTCAAATATTCAACCACAAGATGGGTGGAGAAGGGAGCCCTTGTGCTTGACTTCCATCATAAGCTTTTCAGATTGTCTTCTTTGTGTTTAAAGATCAGTTAAATATAAGCTCTTTCAGAAATTTGATAAGCAAATGATATGTGAATTTTGAAACAGTTACTGTGATAATTTCTGTGTGATTCTTTATTTCATTTGGATATGTTTCCTATACATACTTTTTTTTCTTACTTTTATTTCTCAAAAAGCAGTTGCCTTTGTCTCGTACTTGGTAAGAAAATATATGCACAAAATGAAAGTTTTATGGGTTTTTTTTCATGTTTGATGATAGGTTTTTAATAAAGTCATGCACTGATGCATAGTAAGGTACAAGAGTCCTGATGGGACATAAACTAAACCTGTGTTTACTTGTGTGGGTTTTTTTCCAGAGATTTGTTAGAGTTCCCCAGAGAAGATGATGCAGCCCTTGCAATGAAAATCCTGGGGCAGTGGCGTTCCCAAGGCCTGGAAGACGTCCGGCTGGTGAATTACTCCGTTCTGCTTGACCTGCCAGGCCCTTCCTCAAACACAGTAACTCTGCAAAACAGCGGGGAATGCTTTTATCCAAGTGGACAACGGTGCAGCGCAGACCCCAGAACACTTCACAGCCAAGACCTCCTGTACTCTTACGCAGCTTATTCTGCCAAAGGAACTCTTGAGGTAACGTGGCCATTTGTCTCTGTCACTTGTGGTGAAATTGAGTTAGGAAAGAGCAGCTTTTGCTGAACCTGACTGGAAAATTACACATAGAATCACAGAATTATTTTGGTAGGAAAAGACCTCTGAGATTATTGAATCCAATTGAAAATATGCTGAAATGCCCAGCTTTAAAATAAGCATATTTATGTGAATTATGATATGGCCAATCGTACTTATCTTAATTAACCTTACAACCTTATATATATGAATACTTCATAGGGGATAGATATAGATATACACTCACATATATCTATGTGAATCTAATTACATAATGTCTATAATTTTTTGTTAAATATCTGTGTTTATGAATTGGCACATTTTGCTTGTGTGTAAAAATAAGGAAGCTGTGTCTAGAGTTTCACTTTGTCCTTGCTGATGTATGAGTACTGCTGGTTTGAGGGATGCTTGTAGGAAGGATAAGATGAGGCTGGTGGGAGTGCTGGGCTAATACCTGGAGGCTCTGAATTATGATTGTGGATCTCTCATAGTTTCTTCTGTGACAATTCAGTTGACACATCTGCTCTGTTTCCTCTTGAAAACACCGATTTGTAGTTTTATCTTACTGCAGTTAGTCTAGGAAGTTTTGTCAGCAAAAAGATTCTACCTATCTGGATTTGTTACTTGCCAAGTGAAATAAGATCTTGGATTATCTTGTTTTTTCCTGTGTGCTGTCTTCACTGTCTGTTTTCCTTGAGCTTCTGACTAAATATTTTGAGAGTGCACAAAGGGGCCATCATTGCTGTTTACCCTCCTAACTGAGATAGGGTAAATCTTAAAAAATATTTCTGAAATATAAAAATTGCAATTTCACTGTTAATTGCCTTATTGTCATCTTCCTCCTTTCAAAAATATATTATTCCACTGATGCTGGGGGATTTCTTTCTTAGTTTCTGTCTTATTTAAAATACATGTTTGTTCATGCCTTAGAACACTTACAGACTATAAAGGAACATTGTGAACAGATTGTGAATATCTTAATATTTAAACATGCCTACTCTCCATGTTGTGTCTTACCAGCCTCGGTCTGGGGCTCTGTCCACTTCAAATTTGTTGCTGAGAAGCAAAATGAAGTTGGCAAGAAGAGGTTCTAACTTGCATGACACGTGCTTTAACTTTTCTATGTAATAATGAATGTGGTTGCCTTCTCATATCACTTAACAACTCCATATTTAATATTATTTTCTCATTGTAACTTAGTAAGAGTACCTGTAATCAGAGAGAGGAATGGTTGTGACCTTTGAGGTTTTATTTCATGAATGTCGATGCGGTGCTAACAAATTCATCAGATTGAAGGAAATCCAATGTTCCGGGAAAAACCACTGCTGTTATTCCCAGCAGCACGGGTTCCATTCTCCATTATGTTCCAGGGCAGTTTTCTCTTATGAGTTCAGCAGAAATGAGGTCCACACACACCATCCTCATCACAAGGGCTGGACCTTGGCTTTGGCAAAACTCCAGCCTTGCACTGGAGCCAAAGAATGATTCTCTGCATGGTTTTACAGACAGTTCTTCGAGATACCTCAAAGAAACCTGAGATACCTCATGAAATTTGAGATGTGTTCTTCTCTTCTTCAAAAAGTCTACCTGAAATGTCCTTAGATCTAGTTTTTGCCTAAAATGGGAATATTCTTATTTGTTTAGGCTACAGGTAAGTTGGTACTGGTCTAACCTTCCTGACTTTCAGTCCTACACACTAATCTCTACTATTTAAACTAATGGAAGTAGAAAAACTTTAAATGAGAAGTAGCAGGTGGTGGCTGTTGCTGGGCTCAGCCATCAGAAAGGGACTTGATTGCTTGCAGTGGAGCTACAAGTTGCGTATTTTGGATATCCTGCAGTGGTTTGTGATTGCAAAATCATGAGGGTTTTCCTGTGAACAGGTATTTTTATAACAGCTACTCATAACCTGAATAATTTTCTTTCAAATGTGGCACATCCTTAGCAGAAAATTCCTATTATGTGTCGCTTAATCAGGCTGAATTGCTAATACTGCCTCGATGCTGCTGCTTCATTGTATCTCATTTGTCTGTTTGGTTTGCTAGAAGTTGAAGCAAATAAAACCATTAAGCTATTGCAGTCTGGCTACCAGCAGAGCTACAGCTCCACTTTGATGTTGACAAGGTTATTTGTAGAACAGCAAGACTCATTTTCTTTGACCACCTGTCATGTCCATTCATCATACGGCCATTGTATATGAGCCATCCAATTTGTGCTTTCTGGTAACAGTCTAAACAGCATTTGTGAGTAAAAATGTGAGCATTTGTGATCTGAAATCTACTTCAAAAACCTACTTAGTGCCACTGTGATGGATGGTGCACTTTACTACTTCTCTATATTTCATCGGGCTGTGAAAAGGTGACAGTGTTTACCCATCATGGTGACAGGCAGGGCAGCTTACAGTTCTGGAGAGGGCTGTCGAGTCAGTTTTGAAATAGATATTGCAGCAGTTATGTAAATAATATATTGTAGGCTAGGTCAGCCTAAGGAAAGAATGACATACCTGAAATATATTTTTATTAAAACTTAAATATCAGCCACCTTTTATAGAGCTTAAACCTTTTGTCTGCTTGATAAAAACAGGAAAGCTGTTCTGGCCAACAGAGTGCACATATAAATGGAAATTACATTGCTTCAAATTTATGCATTAAAGCAAAATGCATTGTCAGACGGTATCCAGCCAGTCTCCAAGTGAGGGTGGTGTGGTGAATCCGAATGTGCTGCTCCTGCCTGCTGGAGCTTTGGGATCCAGGAGCTGTGGGGGTGCTCTGTCCCTGGGGAGTGGAGAGGGCTGAGATGGAGCTGATGAGAGAGGGCTGTGAACCTCCAAAACCTCGTGTCCCCCTTCAGTTCCTCTCTGGTAAATGGTGTCAGTAGCACACGTGTGACAGGGGTGTGGTGATCCCCGAGTGCACCAAAGGAGAAGCAGGGGTATATTTGGGCTTGCAGGAGCCTGGGTGGCACTTGGGGCATGGGCAGTTGGTTTCAGTTAGTTCTGCTGAGTGCAGCAGCTTCTGGAACAAACACAAGTCTGCAGTGTTTGTCTGCTCCCTCCACTGTTCCTTTAGCAACTGGACATAGTCCTAGCAAATGCAGTGGTCAGTGTGTGGGAATAACATTCAAGGACAGTCTAATTAAAGCAAAATGCAAATGGTATTTGCTTTGTATTCATCCATTTTCTGAAATTGTCTGTGTGACCTGAAGTTTTCTTCACTTTCCTTTCACCTTCAATTTATTCACTCTTTACTTTATGGAGGTGTTAAGGAACTTTTTGGCAATCCTAAGTCTGCTTTCATACTTTGAACTGAGGTACTTGGTGTCCTCTGTTATATGGCATTGTCTCATGATTCACTACTCTGCCTCTTTTGGAATAGTGCACCAAATCCCTGCTGGTTCCTTTGCTGCCCCTCTCTTCTGGTTTCAGGTTTTATTTCCACCCTCATGGATGCTCTCAGCAAGCCCAGCAAAACATCCTCTTTCTTTCCTGGACCTTTCATGTACTGAAAGGACTGTGTTGGTTCAGGAGCCAGGAGAGGATGCAAGAGTAGAAGTACTGGCATGTTCTTGAAATGGAGATGCACATGCAGGCAGGGATTATTTGGGGGGTTATGGACAGAAATGAATTGTGTGCATCTCCGAGGCAGTTCTCCCAACACCTGACTACGTCTGTTTTGTATTTTGGCCACTGCTGTGTCCCTGTCCCCTGGTTCTTCTGCCATGTCACCTCACTTCCCTGCCATCACCCACATTCCCAGTTCCTACTGATTTCTCTGTTGCAGCATCTGCTGATCTGAGGCATTTATACCCAATCAGCCAGGGGTATTTTTGATGAGTTTTGGAGGACCTGCAGGGAGCAGATAAGTGGGAATGCTGCCTGCCTGCCTCTACCCACACCACGCAGAAGAGATTCTCTGCATCTGCTGGTCACGTCTCAGTCTGCTCCGGTTCGTTTGTTTTGGTGACATTTTCTCAGCTAAATGAGAACCCACCGCAGAGATTAATGCAACCTGAAGCAATCTGGGATGTACAAGCCCATCTGTTAAGCTCACTCAGTCATCTTCCCACCATTCTTCAATCTTGGCAAGAGGGGAATCAGGGAAGCAGGACTCAGATTTTGCTGTCAGATCCTCTTTCACAAGGAGGGGAATTTGCCCACTTCTTATCCAATATCCCATTTTCTTATGCCTGTCTTTAGATGTCTCCTTTCCCCATCCATCCCCGCTTTTTCCCAGATTCTTTCCAGGACAATGGGAGTCTTCCTCTCCTCTACTGCCTGTTCTTCTACCCTTTCCCACTCCTGCCAGGAGTGTATCTTGCAGTCCCCATTTATGTGTCCTACAGTCCCCATCCCTCTCTGCTCAGGTTCACAGCCCTGTTTGCTGCCACTACTGGCAGCTCTCTCTATTTCCAGCTCTGCACCAAAAGGTCTGGAGTTCCTCTGGAGGGGACAGTGCATCAGGAAGTCCTTGACCCCAAACCTTGCTTTCATTTGATTCGGTTTCATTGTGCTGGAAATGTGATTAGTGCACCCTTATTATCTTTTCTCTTCCCTCCAGCTAATCAGTGGTAATTTCCTTAACAATATTTCAGAATTAAGATTGGTGTCAGCGGGTTGGTTTTAGAAAATTTTAAAATCTTCCCAGGTTATTTTTATCCCCAGGCAGAATTTCTAAATGAGCCTTCTGTAGCGTGCTCACTAGCACATCTTGAATTCCAAAGGCAGAGAGTGCGTTTAATTTAGATTAAATAATCACAGCATCTCTTCCTATGTCTCAGTCATTTTTGATGGCACATTGGTGCAAAATACCAAGCTAGAGGGAATCTTGATACATGTGTGCATTTAATTCTTTTAGGCATGCCAAATTTAGTTCATTATTATCTTTATTAACATTTTTAAAGATTTCTTCTCTGAAGAGACATGCACTAGTAAAATGAATCCCTAGCAACTGAAATCAGTTTTGCAG